AAAGAGATACTTAAATCAATTCATAATCCAGATCAAACTGGATTCCTACCTAAGAGACAAATAAGAGATAACATGAGAACAATTTTAAATACATTGGAATACTAAAAGCACACCCAGAGAAGCAGATGGCATTGATATTTCTAGATGCACAGAAGGCTTTTGACAATGTGAACTGGCAATTTATGCTGACACAATGAAGAAAATGGAGTTTGGGGAAAGTTTTATTAATGTGATTAAGATTATAAATATTATAAATAATATGCAAAGGTATTGGTTAATGGAGAATTGATGCAAAAAAATCTTATTGAGAAAGGAACAAGACGAGGGTGTCCTTTATCACCATTGTTGTTTGTATTAACTTTAGAAGTATTATACAGAACTATTAGGAAAGATAAGGAGAGAAGGGGGATGGAAATAAAAAAGGTGTACAAATTACAGACATTTGCAGATGATTTAGTTTTCATATTAGAATAACCTCTAGGAACAGGACCTAGGCTGATTACCAGAATAGAGTAATATGGGAAAATGGGTGAATTAAAAATAAACAAAGGGAAAACTAAGATATTGGTGAAAAACATGATAAAGAAACAAAAAAAATTGACAAAGAGTACAGATATTCAGTTTGTAAAGAAAGTTAAATACTTAGGAATACAGTTAACAGCAAGATGTGGAACAATTAAAGAAGATAACTATTATAAACTGAAACAGCAGATAAAGACAGAGTTAGAAAAATGGGGCAATATGCAGTTATCATTAAGAGGAAGAATTGAGGTGATTAAGATGAACATATTGCCCAAACTATTGTATTTGTTCCAAACAATTCCGATAAAGTTAGAAAAAATATTTTGAAGAAATCAGCAAAATGATACTGAAATACAGTATATATGGCAAGGGTTTAACAAGAATTAATGTTAAAATGTTACTGGATGCTAGAATTAGAGGAGGATTTGGATGACCTAATTGGGAAATATATTATCAACCTACGGCTTTAACATGGATGAAAGAATGGATAATGTTGAGGAATAAAAGGTTGGAAGGACATGATTTACAAATGGGTTGGCATGCATTTTTGTGGTACAGGAGAAGTAAAACACATGGGTACTTTCAAAGGCATATGGTCAGAGATGCATTGTTACATGTATGGGAAAAAAATGAGGGAACAGCACTACATGAAGATACCAGTCTGGTTATCAACAATGGAAGCACTTGTATATTGAAATGTTTGTAAAATGGGAAGTGTTACTAGGTATAAAGATATTTTAAATAACAGGTAACAGATAGATAACAGATAACAGATAATCAGAGTTGGAAGGGACCTTGTAGGTCATCTAGTCCAACCCCCCGCCCAAGCGGGAGACCCTACACCATTTCTGACAAATGGCAGTCCAATCTCTTCTTGAACGTCTCAAGTGATGATGCTCCCACAACTTCCGAGGGCAAGCTGTTCCTTTGGTTGATTGTTCTCACTGTCAGAAAGTTTCTCCTTATTTCCAGGTTAAATCTCTCCTTGTTCAGTTTCCAGCCATTATTCCTTGCCTGGCCTACAGACACTTTAGAAAATAGCTTGACCCCTTCCTCCCTGTAGCAGCCCTCAAATATTGGAAGACTGCTATCATGTCTCCCCTGGTCCTTCTCTTTACTATACTAGCCAAGTCCAGTTCCTGCAACCGTTCATTGTCTGTTTTAGCCTCCAGTCCCCTAATCATCCTGGTTGCTCTTCTCTGTACTTTTTCTAGAGTTTCAACATCTTTTTTATAATGTGGTGAAAAAAATTGGATGCAGTACTCTAGGTGTGGTCTTACTAAGGCTTTATAGAGTTGTATTAGTACCTTTCTTGATCTTGGTTGTATCTCTCTGTTAATGTAATTTAGGATTGCATTGGATTTTTTGGCTGCTGCTGCATGAATGAAAGGGTGCATGAATGAAAAGGGTGAGCTCAAAACAAAACAAGAATTGAATGAACAAGGATAAATTAGCATTTGTATACACAAATACAATCAAGGTATGAAAAAGATATTAAAGATTAACAAAAAGTTGACAGAATTGGGTAACATATTAACAGGAACAGAAGGTAAGTTGATTAAAAGACTATACTGTTATTTATTAGGTGTTAAGTTGGAGGAGGGACAAGTTAAAGAAACAATGATAGCATGGGCACATTTTTTGGATATGCTATAGAACTAGATAAATGGCAGAAACTGTGGGATAGAAATTATAAATTAATATCAGCAGCATATAAAGAAAATTTGTACAAGGTGTTTTATAGATGGCACTTAGCACCAGCAAAATTAGTGAAAATGTTTAAAGATAAATCAACCAAATGCTGGAAGTGTCATCAAACACAATGAACATACTACCATATGTGTTGGCCTTGCATAGAAGCTAAAAGATATTGGACAAAAATTCACACAGTTGGCAAAAATGACTAAACAACATATAGATTTGAAACCTGAAATATTTTTATTAGGAATGGTATCTGAAGATTACAGTAAAGAGAAAACATTTAATCATACATGTATTAACAGCAGCTAGAATTGTATTTTCTCAGAATTGGAAAAGTGACAAGATACCGATAGAGGGAAAAGTAATTGAAAAAATATTTGAATGTGTAGAAAGGAATAGATTAACATTGGAAATTAAAGAAAAAGAAGAATCTGAATATTATATGGTAGGGGATTTATTTTACAAATGATTAGAAAATAAAATAAAATGGATTAGATGTATATATAAAACAATAAAAGAAGATTGTAAATCAGATATATGGGATATTAGTTATAAGAAAATGTGATTATTGTTCTGTTATATTAATAAGGAAAGTATTAATTGTAAACTGTAAGCACATAAATATGTACCTAATCGATGCACGGTTGAAATGGAATGGATTTATTGTATATAAAAATAAAAAAAAATTATATAAAAAAAGATAAACTAGGACTCCTTTCTGCAAATGTTCATGGAGGACCTTGTTAATTAGTTGCATAAATACGGCAGGGGCTCCTTGTAGTCCGAAAGGGAGTACTGGTAGCACCCCAGTGAGGTGTTAAAAGCAGTCTTCCACTCATCCCCTTTCCTAAGGGTGCCATCTTTCTTTTCATGGAACAATACTGGGGCTGCAATTTTCGCTTGGGTGGGTTCGATGAAACCCCTTTTTAGATTTTTGTCAATAAACGCTCTGAGTTCATTTAGTTCTCATGGGGACATGCAGTACATTTTTGGTTTTGGAAGTTTAGCTCCCAGCAGGATCTCAATGGCACAATCCGTGGCGCAATGAGGCAGGAATTCATCAGATGCTTCCTAGTTAAATATTTTGGCCAAATCCTGATATTCTTTGGGGATGCTAGTGGCTGGCCATGGCCATTTCTCTGTTCTCTTTTCCTTTCTTCACCCCCTCTGGGATGTTTGTGAATGTTACATGTTTCTGGAATTGTACAGTTGCTCTCTTCCAGTTTATTTTAGGGTTCCATTTCCATAGCCATGTGAGTCCTTCCATTCCCGGGGCTACAGTGAACATGAGAGTCTCGCTATGGTCCCCCAGTTTTATTTGTAATGGCTCTGTGTAAAATTGGCTGGCTCCCCCCCCCCCCTATAGTACTAATTGGCAGAAAGCGATGGGGTTTTTCATTCTCCTTTTCATTCTCCCAATCTCCCTGCTAGGGTTGGGTTGATTAGGCACTGGGTGCACCCCAAATTTTCTCAGGGTGCTGGAGTTTCTTCCTCTGGGTTTGGAGGGGACTGAAACCCCATGGCCTGTCAGCTTCTCAGTGCAGTTTCTTTTCCTCAGGGGTTGGATTTTCCAGGTTTTCCCCCAATGGGCGATCAGGCTTTCTGGTGGGGGTCTTTGAATGGCACTCCGCTGCACAGTGCCCCTCCTTCCCACACTTAAAGCAGACAGATGGCCTTGGTGCCATGGCGGGTTGGGGTTTGAAAGGGTCTCACTTCCCCATGGGTGGGGATCTTCTCCAAGCCCAGCCTGTGTGATACTGGTTTCAGGTCATGTTGATCTCTGCTACTATGTACCATTCGTGCAGGGCCCCGCGGGCCAGGCAGACAGTATACGGGTCATCGTTAAGTCCATCTTTGAACCAGCAGTTCCTCAATCATCTCTTTCTGATCAGAAAGGGCTTCCAGTTCCATTTTCCATTTGGGTTTTTGACTACCGCCCTTGGCTCTTCCATCCCAGCTCTCCCTTTTTCCTACACCTATAGACCATCTGGCCTTCATGGAACTTTCAAAGACAGATTTGATGTTTTCAATGGGACATACGGAGCCTGTGTCGCGCTGGGTAGTTATCAAGGTTTCTCCCAGCACTCGGCTTCCCCTTGCTCGCTGCTATATTCAGACATTGTCGCAGGGTGCCCTCAGTAGAGTAAAAGTTTGGAAGAAAAAAAAAATCTCTCCAGGTTGACCACTATTGCAGACCCTGCTTTATGTAAGGATCAGCCTCTCCCCTCCTTCAAAATATAAGTATGAACTCTTGAAAACTTTGTATTTCAAAAGGAATCTTTTTATTAAAGAGGGGTAAAGCAGGTCAAAATTCAAAGCAGGGTCTGGGGTCCCTCTGGGCATGCAACTAAGATAAAGGGAATTAGAACCACTCCCAGCAGTCCAATGTGGATTCCACCAATCCCCAGTGTGAACACTATTATCCCACTGTCTCTGAGAAAGCAGATAAGGAAAGGTTCCCAGGAGTTATCTTCTGGTGCTACAATCCACATGGCCCCTTCTCCCTTTAAATCCCTCGAAGAGGTGAGATTTTTCCACAGGCACCTTGGGCGCCAGGCAAGGGTTATAAATTGTGTAAAGGTTATACAAAGCCAATGTAAAAAATAGGATATTTAGGATACATGGAGAGGAAAAAAATTAAATGTATCAAATCCAACCCCCCCTTTCCTTCCACCGAAGAATGGCAGATACATGGATCTGACAATTTCAGTATATAAATCAGTAATCTCCCAAGGAGAAAACAGATATTCTCATATTTTTTTATTTTTTTCTTCCAGATAGTACGACTGAAGTTTTTACAGACATCTATGTGACCAGTTTTGGACCAGTTTCAGATACTGACATGGTGAGTACGGTAACTGAAATAATCTCTGAGATATATATAATGATATGGCTGAACTGAAGCAGAAAGAATGTCCACCTGCCAGTGCCAGATTTAGGCATAAACTAAACAAGTTATAGTTTAGGACCTCACATTCTACAGGATCTCACTGTCAGGATTCTGGCAGTTGCCCTAATTAATTCATGAGCCTCGAGCCAAAATTCAAAACTTATAATGAATTTATTCCCTTTGGCCAGGTGGGATAGCATGTCCTTCATGAGCGGGAGTGGATATAGATCAATAGCCCTAAAATCCATGCATAATCTCATTGTCCCATCTTTTTTTTCTTTGAACAGGACTGGGTATGCGACCCATGTCTTGGCTGGCTCGATGAACCCTCTTGCTAGGTTTTTGTCTATATATTTGTGCATTTCTTGCATTTCCCGGGGCATCATGGCATACATGTTGAGTTTTGGTAGTTTTGCCCCGGGAATGATTTCTATGGCACAGTCTGTCTCCCAATGGGGAGATAGGATGTCACACTCAGTCTCGCTGAATACTCCAGTGAGGTCCTGATATTCTCTTGTGATCCGTCTAGCCTCTGGGGTTTTGTCGGAGGTGGCTGCCAATTCTGGTGAACTCTCTGGGAGGGGTCCCTGTGTGGGCGGTGCTTCTATTTGATGTGAGGAAGAGGTTGGGGTCCCTTTGCTATCAATCTTCAGCCACCCCCCTGCCACCACTTGTCTAGCTAAGAAAGTCCCAGTATGACCGCATCTGTCATTTTGGGAGCCACTATGAATCAAATTTTTTCCCAGTGATCCGCTAGCTCTAGTCTCACTGGTTTGGTTAAGTGAGTGTCATAGGCTTCTCCCGATAGTCAAAAGTCCAAAGTCATCTACCTATTTGAACCGGAATAGGTGGGACAGCTTTTTCACTCTGATCCCCAATTTCAGGACCATGGTTAGGTTGATCAGGCACCTAGTGCAGCCTGAATCTATTATGGCTTGGAAAGTCCCCTGAATTCCTGTTTTGGGGGCTGTAAGGTATATTGGGAAGACAAAAGGGGGAACCGATCCACTCACCATTGGGTCATTTTCACCCTCGTCCTCGCTGTCATAAGAATCTTGGTGACTGGTTGCCATTGTCTGGGGTTCCCCCCCTTCGGCTGGGTGGGGAGAGACTTCTTCAGCCTGAAGGGCCTTCTGGGATGCATTGGTGGCACGTCAGGGGCCTTGTTCTAGTCATGCCCTGGGTGGTGGTTTCAGCCTAGGTTTTGAATCTGGGGCTAAACATGCCGCTGCCATGTGCCCTACCCCCCACCCTGCATCGGTAGCATTTAATTGGGCTTCATGAGAGGGTTGATTTTGGGACAGGTTGTTGTGCTGCATTGTCCCGTTGGCTGGGTGATCTCTGGTCTGGCTGCCCTCTCTCTTTGGTTCCCAATGGCTTCCTCATGTTGCTAGCGCGTAATGCCCCGTCGACTTTTATGGCTACTCGGAACCACTCAGATAGTCGGTTCGGGATGTCCCAATCGGCAGTTACTTTGCTAATTTTCTTGTCCAGGCTGGTTCTGAAAAAATGAACTAGCGTCTGCTCAGGCAAAAGGGGTAACTTCCCACTGATTTCTCCTGAATTCATGGATGTGTTCCTTGATGGGTTGCCCTGCCTGTTTTAGGTGGCTGAGCTCATCTTCTGCGTATGGGTCATCTTCTGCCTTTTCAAATCTGGCCTCTAGCAGTCATAGGAAGTCATCTGTCATGTAGCTGGGGGGCCCTTCTCTTATGGAGAGTTGCTAGCCATCCATTTGCTTCTCCCTCTAACCCCTCAGAAATGGCATTCATCATGTCTCTAGAGGAGGGATAGATGTGTCCATAGCATTCTAGATGTATCCCCGCTGATTCAAGGAATAGAGCTAGCTGGTCTGGGTCCCCGTCAAATTTTCCCCTGAACCAGTACAGTTCATAAAGCTCTGCTCTGCCCTCCTCCTGTTGCCCTCTGTAAACCTGTGCTTGAGGTAGCTGACCTTCCCCCCCCCCCCCCGGGCCCGGCTCTAGTTCACACAGGAGGAGGAGGCTGCCTGCTGAATGGGGGAGGCACTGGTTGCCACTGTGGACTCTTTTTTTCTTCTGGTGGGTAGAGAAGGGGGGCTGTGATCTTGCCTGCTTCTCCTCACTTCAGAAGGCTCCGTGAAAACTCCTCTCCATTTTGGGTGGCATGATAGGCCATCATCTCTGATGGTAGCCTGGTCAAATTCCTCCCTCAGCTGCTCTATGAATCTCCCCAGGGATCCCGTCATGAGCTCTGCCTTGTTTCCAGTCCCACAGCCATTCCACTCTTCCCAGCTCACTCAGGGGCCTTCCCCCCTTTTTGGCCTGGGGATAGGGGAGCTCAACTTCCGAAGTTTTGGGGAATTTTTTTTCCCACCAATACTCATCTGTTTTTCTTTCATTCACTGGATCAGTTTTCTCCGCTTCAGCTGTAATTATGCTGGCAGCTTCTGTTTGCTTCTGGCTGGAGGCCAAGTCTGTTTCTGCTTGGGTTGCCTGGAGCAAGCTTTCTTCTGATAGTCCTCTCTCTGCCATGGCTGTCTTGAGTTTCTCTCCACACACTCCAGATGTCGGGGAGAGATGGGAGAGGCCGGAGGTCAAGTACCCCGGTAATCGTGATTAATTTTGAGAATCGGCTTGCTGTCAGGATTCCGACAGTTGCCCTAATTAAATCATGAGCCTTGAGCTAAACTTCAAAACCTATAATGAATTTATTAGGAGCAAACACGTCGGCAGGACCTGTTCGAAGCTGATTCTGAGACACGTAATTCACTGTCACCTTCGACCCTGGTTTCCCCCCACTCCTTTGGGTGCATCATAATTCATATTTTCCAACAAAACACATCTATAGCCAAGAGTCATCAATCATGTTCTCCAATTAGAGATTTGCACGGTAGAAACTCCGGTCGCCTTGTTACAATCTCTGCAAGTTATGAATGGAATGCACTTTCGATTCCAAACCGTTGTGCTTCTCTTTCAAACTTCTTTACCCCCCTCCCTTTTTTGTTGGCAACTATAAAACGGACATAGAAATGTTTTATGAGTTGACACAAAATTTCAGATTTGGCGGGGGGCACTTTTTAAATTTTTGTGGGGCTTCTATGTGTACTTTAGTTTTCAAATATTGTATATCAAATTTTGTGTAGTTTTAAAATGGTGTCATACACACACACATACATGTACATATACATTTACATATACATACACACACACACACACACACACACACACACACACATATATTCCTGTAGGTTTTAGAAAATTTCAGATGAATTTCAGCATGTGGACCTGATCCTTGTATTAAATCAAAGAAACCAGGAAAGATAACTGACCAAAAGGCAAATGTTTGAAAGAAATATCTAAAAGGGTTCTAGAATATCTACCTACCTACCTACCTACCTACCTACCTATCTCCCCATCTAAATCTAAAACCTATTGTCATGGTTCCGAGTAATTCTCTCAACCAGTTCAAGATTCTAAGGCCTTGGCTTCCTCAAAAATCCTGTTTATTGGGTACATTGTATCGGCATTGTCAGAGGTGAAACACTGAATAATTCCCATGTTTTTGGTATAATTAAAGAATAGATACTGTCTGTCATGTCCACATCAGAGCCTGAATCTGTGGGGGAAGACGAGCTTGAACTGGAGCTGACAGAGATGAAGGAGGCAGCTTCATTGGCTTTGGATGAAAATGGGGAGGAGCTAACTCAGTCAGACCAGGGCCTTTCAGGATAAGGATGGCTTGTAGGCAGAGAGGAACAGGGGCAGGATGACCAAGAGAGGCTTAGCAGTAAACAAGAGAGACAGAGCTTAGGGGATGATCAGGGACTGCCTCCTCCTGATCCTTGAGCATGGAGAGTGGAGAGAAGGTGAGAACAGCGCAGACTAACCCAGCTACTTGAGAGAGCACCCCGCGCCTCTTCACAAGGCACAGCTGGGGACTGAGACTTAAGGAGATGCTGTGGGGAGGGGCATTTGTTGGGAACAAATGCTGAATTCATGAAATGTTGAGTGCTGACTTTTGAACTTTCCTAAATTCCTTGCATTATTTCTGGATACTTGCCTTGCTCCTTTGATTCCTGAACTCCTCAACTTGCCCTGCTGGATTTCTTGCTTTGCACCCATTGGGCTGGGCTATTTGCAGTCAGAGGCTGCTTGAGCTGTGTGTGTGTGTGTGAGAGAGAGAGAGAGAGATCACTTTGCTCTGGGACTTGCCAGAAACTTGGGAGCATTTGGGAACATTTGGAGCAATAAAGGGGCAGTTTGAACTGCCAGCTAACTGTGTTACCTCTGTGCCATGCCCCGGATCATCACACTGTCCACTCCTCTTGTGTCACAGGTCATATTAGCCGACCAAGCAGGTGATGAACTTCCAAGCACTCCCTCTTGTCATTGCTAGGGCATGCTGATTTGGCCTTGGTTCTCAGGAGACTTATCGCTGTTATGTCTGGCACATTGGCGGAAAACTGTGAATACCCAGGACTGGACATGGAAGCAACGCAGCTGGAATGAAGATTTAACTCCCCTTTATTGCTCCAACTTTCCCCCAAAAGTCCCACCATTCACTGCAAGTCCAGTGACTGCAACAAAGCTGTAAACACACTCCTCCAATAGTTCCTAGCTGCTGTTAGTCCAGAGGAGCAGCATAGTTCTGAGAGCAGCCATAGTTCAGGGAATTTGGTTCCAAGGAGTCCTTGTCACAGGAAGAATTCACTGGGACTGCAGCACAATCCGGGCCAGAACTGGGTCACTGCAAACTTGCACCTAGCCAGGCCAGGCAAGCAAGGCAAGCATTGCAATCAGGGCAATGCAAACAGGGCAAGGCAAGCAAAGTATCCAGATGTCATTAGCAGCACGTGAGACTGGAAAAAGGCAATGCTTGTTCCCGACAAGTGCCACCCCAACAGCGTTTCTTTAAATCTCATTCTCCAGGTGAGCCTTGTAAAAGGGTCGATTAGGGGGAGGTAATTGCTTGTT